GCAATTTTTTGCGAATACAAAATGCAAAAAAAAACTAGAAAACTGGATCATACATTCAATAAAGAAAAACATATCCCGAATGCAAAAATTAAGTTAACTCTTATATTTCAGAATAAATGGCTGGCAAATTTAGAATTGCTAAAGTTTGATGTCAAAGAAAACAAAATATGCGTATTATGCATTACTATTTAATATTGATGTTTATTTTTCCGAATTTTATGTGGATAATAGCTGCAATTTTGAGTACTTATTTTTTTTCTAAGACCAATTTAATATTTTATTCGATTGTTAGATCAATTTACTATAATTAATCAAGTTTTATTTGAAATAAATTAATAACTGTGATGTTATTATGAAGCACAAAAATGATTTTCAGTGATGAAGTGTTACATTTATTTGTACAGCTAGTGAAATTTTTTGTAGACCAGTATATAATGATGCTTACTGATCCTAAACACCAGTTACTCTTTTTTATAACTTTTAATGCTGTTAGTGAAAATGATTGACTGAATTTTACAGAAGCGCTTACTGTTTTCTTTCTTCTTTTTTGTATGTTTTCATTATTCAGTTGATATTATAATTGATATTATCTTCACGATCTCAACAGAAAAATTGAGATTAAGTGACACAATGTCACAATTGTATTCTGGTAAAATGTAGTTAAACGTTATTTTGAAGGTTACCAATTTGGCCTGTTTTGCGGACTCTCTCCGTTGTAAATCGAAATAGGTTAACAAAAGAAGAAGAATATTTTAAGTTTGTCGAATTTATAAACAACTAAAATAATATTTTTGAAACTAGAAACTAGCAAATGAAATAAATGTATAATATTTTAAGTAAGAAAATTAATGAATAATTATGGGAATATTTTTTGCAAATCTATATATAGCTGAATGAAAAATATTTTCAATTACAAAAGAAAATTTTACTTACATATTTTTCCAGTTATCCATATTTAATTAGAAAATTAATTAATAATTATAAATTTTTTTTTTGCAAAATAAAATAACAAAATAATATAAATTAAGTAAAAAAATTTCTATGCAAAAGGTAGGGTTAAACTACAATTCAATATTTAATTTTTACTTTTGTTATTATCCTTTAATTTAAATTTTTTCTTTTACAGTGCGAGAAATATCAAAATAGAGAAGCTTTAGGTAATCTTTGTGCTGATCTTTGTGAGTTGAATAACCTAAAACCAAATAGTTGCCTTCCTAATCATTTGGGCAAAGATGTTGTTTTTGAAGCAACCTATTATAACAAACATGTCGTTATGAAATCCAGCAAATTGAACTCCGATGATTTCGATCAAGTCTACTACAAAGATGCAGATGGGAACAAAATACATCCTAGCATTGATATGTTTTATTCTATGATCAAAAACACAATTCAAACTGAGCTTGATATCAATGTTTCCTCCAGCATGGATGATAAGTCATTGCATCTTCTATCGAAAGTATGGACGAGAAACATGCAGAATTTTTTCCACTTGCCTTCTGCCATGCAAAACGTTGCAATGAGCAACATTTGGTTTTTAGTTCAACAGACTGAGTATTTGCTTATGAAGTATTTTGAAGACATGGATGTTTTCCCCAAGATCAAAGGGACCTGTGGTCCTTTTTATGTTGTGGAGTTCATTCGGCCTTTGGATAATTATTTCTTGATGTTTTATCCGTCCTGGAAACAAGATTTCTTCAAAAGAGCTAATTTAGCACTTAAATTACTTAATTTTTTGGAAGAAACGGAGAAGCACTTTCCGTTTTTGCACTTCTGTGATGTCAAGGTTGGTCATTTCGGCCTGGATGAGCATTATGATATCCGCCTTCTTGATATGGATATGGTGTTCTTCGAGCCTTCTTTGATCAAAAATATTGTTGCTATTCAAAACTGCACAACTGATGAAGACTGT